TTGGTAAGCTCCGCCGAGGATTTATGTCCGCCTTGGTTTCCAGTTTGATACTAAAGATTTATCTCAGGGTGTCTTTTTGGTGCCATCTTCATGCTCGTCTGGGGGGACTGGCTCGGTCGTCGAAAAGGTATCATTAGCGGTGCTATCGTCATGATCCTCGGTGTTATTGTGCAGGTCACTTCTTATGCTGGCAAGCAGCCTCTCGTGCAATTTACCATTGGACGTATAATCACTGGTGTGGGTAACGGAATGAACACTTCTACCATCCCCACCTACCAGGCCGGTATGTATTCAATGAATTTGCATGGGATCTTGTTAGCATAGAGAAAGTCGACTAACTCTGAATTTAGAATGCTCTCGAACCTCAAATCGTGGTCTTCTTATCTGTATCGAGGGTAGTACCATTGCCTTTGGTACACTGATTGCTTATTGGATTGACTTTGGTGCATCATATGGTCCCCCCGATGTGATTTGGCGTTTTCCTATTGCCTTCCAGTGTGTGTTTGGATTATTCATTATTGTTGGTATGATCCTTCTACCTGAGTCACCGCGCTGGCTTTTCACACGGGAACGCTATGAGGAAGGTGAGAAGGTTATTGCTGCACTCCTAGGCGCCGAACCAGACTCCCACGAAGTGGCCCTACAAAAGAACATCATCATGGATTCTATCCGTGCCTCTGGTCAAATGGGGAAGACCACCCCAATGTCTGCCGTCTTTACCGGTGGCAAGACTCAGCACCTCCGTCGTATGCTCCTTGGAGTTTCATCCCAGCTCATGCAGCAGATTGGTGGCTGCAATGCTGTTATCTACTATTTGCCTATCCTCTTCAGAGACTCGATCAAGCTGGAGGGGAAGCTTCCATCTATTCTCGGTGGTGTCAACATGATTGTCTACTCCATCTTTGCGACTGCTTCTTGGTTCTTGATTGAACGAGTCGGTCGTCGCAAGCTTTTTCTCTACGGTACCATTGGCCAGATGGTCTCAATGCTCATCACCTTCGCTTGCTTGGTTCCCGACAAGTCCGGTCCAGCTAAGGGTGCCGCTTTCGGCCTTTTTATCTACATTGCTAGCTTTGGTGCTACTTGGTTGCCATTACCCTGGTGTGTTTTGAGCCCCAAGCTAGAAATCAATGTGAATACTAATGCGTTTCTAGGTTGTATCCGGCCGAGATCAGCCCGATCAAGACTCGTGCCAAAGCCAACGCGCTTTCGACCTGTTCCAACTGGCTTTTCAACTTTTTGATTGTTATGGTAACTCCAATCATGATTGAAAAGATCAAGTGGGGAACATATCTCTTCTTCGCAGCGATGAACGCTTGTTTCTTGCCCATCATCTACTTTTTCTATCCCGAGACCGCTCGCCGTTCTCTGGAGGAGATTGACCTGATCTTCGCCAAGGGGTTTTCCGAAAATATCAGTTACGTGCGCGCTGCAAATGAGCTACCTTACCTTTCTGACGAGGATATTGAGCGTGTCGCTATTCAGTATGGATTTGATGCTGATGAGATGAAGCCTGGTGGTGTTTCGCAACCTGAGGCTACCTAATTGTTGGGTGTGGTAGACGGCCCTGCTTTTGGCGAATCTCGTGCGGTGCTAGATGTAGAATGCTCTGATATTTTGTGTTAGATGCCTATACAAGACATTTCAACAAATGACTAGTCAAGTTGCAGACAGCTTTCGGACTCTTAGGACTAGCAGGAACATGTGATTATGAAGGTATTGAAAAACATCAGCACCACCACTCTATACGGAGTAGATCCTACACCAATTGATATGATATTGGAATTGAGAAAACATGAATAAGACCGTCTAATACGTATGTAGAGTAGAGACGAACAGGCATCTAATTTATCCCCCCCCCCTTCCCATCCAATCATATGCTAGTATCTCAATAGAATAACGTAAGTGCACCGGGGGTGTACACACCTGTGGACCCTAGCAACGCTAGATCCTTGTGAAGAAGTAAAGATATGCGGTTTTCTTCATCGCTTCGATATCTTCAAACTTGACAACTTTTTCATCATTGAACATCACCCATGACAGGCCACTTTGACCTGGCAATTGTTTGCGAATCACGGCAACATAATGCCTAGCATGTGTTAGTCTAACCCAACAAAGTGAGAACGAAGACATAGAGCCACTCACCCTGCATGGACAGATGTGCCTTTGTGGCATACAATTGACCTTAATTCATATCGAGCAGGTAGGCTAGTAAGCCCAACCGAGCCACCATGAGACTGTGCATTGTGGTCGTCGACACTCGGTGTTTCCATTTCCACCACATCATCTGGGTGAGTGAAAACCCAATCCAGTGCCCTGTTAACATCACCGTCGGTCGCGGCCAAGGCTCGCTGGGCACGAGGCGCCTCAATACCCATGTCCCCTAATTGAGCGATTTTTGCCGCGTCTTGCTCATTAGAACTGGAGGTGCCGACTGGTTCAAGGGCCATCGGTTCATCGATGTCTGGATCTTCCATGTGGGCAAATAGCCAATTCATGGCAGTTTCCGGATCAGAGTTGCCAGTGGCATGAAGAGCTTTCTCGCACCTCACAGCAGGGAAACCCATGCCTATGAGTTGATCGAGGGCTTCTGGATTCGGGACAAATGCGGTAGATTCTTCAATATCGGGAAGTTGCTCCTCACCCGCATCATGCTCACCAGCAAGGTAAGAGCTGAAATCCAGTGGTTTGTCGTCGACCAGCACAGGGATATCCAACTTTGTCGGAACCCAGTTGACGAGCTCAAACCGACGAGCATTGACCACTAATTCCTGAGGCAATGTTTTGAAAGACGACTGCTTCGAAAAGCCATCTTGGCTGCCACAAGCAGGACAGGTAAGCTCAACGACCTCCGCCGAAGTAAAGATGTCTAGACACTCTGACAAATCCACAGACTCATATTCCTTTCCTGTTCCGTCAGAACTGGTAATCGGACGTGCGGGGACAGCAACCGAAACGTTATCTTGCTCATCCACTTTATAGCGGACTTTTTTGCAATGCAAGCACTGAAGACGCTGCTCAACCTGGAAGCGAAAGTCCTGGACCGGGTTAATCTGCGGACTGGTGTGTTTCGATAGGCTGACAGACTTGAATAAATGAAGGAGGAATTCAAATGCATCTTGCTGTCTCATAGTTGAGAACTCCTCATGACCTTGGCCAATAAGATACTTGAACATTGCTGGTGCTAAACCCTTCTTATGAGCGACTTCTGGTATATCCGCGGACAACATAACGCGAGAATCAGGCCGAGAGTACCGGCCTGAGAGTAGACCGTCGGCAAGTTTTCGCAATTGTGTCTCAAGATCCTGTGCTGGTGCTTGGCAGAGTGGTGGTTCTTCTGACAGCTGATAGTATCGCTCACGAAATCCGGCCACAGAAAATATGCATTGCATGATACTGGAGAGATAGCAGCTGTTTCCGAGATTCGCCAGACCTGTAAATGCAGGCCCAAAGACAGGGACCAGCTCTCGGCCATCCTCGGTCGTCATGGAAAATTCCCATTTTAGATTATGTTCGACCTGCATCTCCATCAGACTCTTCTCTGTCTTCTCACGCCCAGCCAAATAGATTCCCCAGTGCGCAAGGTGGGTCGCTAGTTCTGGGTCTACTCTTTCTTCGTTGCACTTATAACAGTAGACATCAGCAGAGCCTTCTGCTGTGATGGAGCCAAGCTTGACAGCCACAGCATGTGATGTTGAGTCTGCGTGAGTAAGGCCATGGGAGTTTCCCTTGCTTCCACCGAATTGACTTCGCCCACAACCCTTATTCCCACATTCCAGACACAGCCAGAGGTTCTCTCCCAGGTCACACTCTGAACAATGGTTTAAATCTGCAGTTTCATTAGCACAAACCCTAGTTTAGTATTTCAGGGAATCAATACCCGTCGATGCGGCTTGCGTGTTGTCCTGTTGAACCAGACACAGTGTATGCTCGCAAGGCACAAACTCTTGCTCCCAGGCCTTGATTTCTTCCTTTCTTGAGAAAGTCATTGCCGTCATAACACCTTCAATGACAGCAGGGAGCTTGCCACTGGCTTTGTCCACATTGTCTTGGGGGCATGAATAGCACACCACTGACGTAGCAATGTCATATCTATCCTCTTCTGTTTCGGCTGCGATGGAAAGCTTTGAAATCTTCGGCGGGGGCTCGTCGCGCTATAAGTCAGAGGTGTGAGAATCATTGGCCAAAAGCCTAGGAAATGTTTAGAGGCTGTACCTGCACTTTCTTGGGAGTCCTTCGAATGTTCAAAGCCAGTGGATGGCCAAATCTCTTGTAATGAAGCAGGGCATGGTCTCTGTTTCCAGCACATCCACCATTGAAGCAATTCAGACAGACATTTAGACCAGCATCATCGTCCTTACAAGGTTAAGTCAGACGACATGTGGAGTAGTAGGAACCGGGTGGCATACAATAGAATCAAAGCACTGAGTACAGTCTTCTCGATAAACAGCCTGGTAAGGTCCTGGCGGATTCAGATCTATGGAGTGTTGTCCATTAGCTCCATTTGTCCTTCGATTATCAAGGTGATGTCACAAACCCGCAGCACCGGTATGGACACAAGAGGCCATATCCAGAGTGGAAATCTCAGTAATTCACGACGTGTCAATCAAGACTTCTTAGCTTTTAACTAAGACTTTAGAAGGTGCGATAGTATCCCATTGAAAGTAAAGATGGGGAAAAGACGGAATATCAAATAGCGCAGATCAAGCTAAAGCTACGATGCGTGGGGTTGCTCCTTCCTCACCGCCTGCACGTGCTCTTATCAATGTTATCCTGAGGCATCAAGTCATGTGGTGGGGGTGTGCCACTTAACGCGTTATTTTTCTCAACACGCGTTTCAACCTTGTCCTCCAACCTGGACTTGCTCTCTCAAGTTCGGTCTTCCTTGCTTCGTTTCTTTTTTATTTCCCTGATTCATCCCTTCACATCATCGTTTTTAGTCTTTCCTCAATACTTCTTTCTCGACTCTGTCAATTATTGAAATTTGAAGTCATCATATCATGGCTTCCGAGGCAGCATCCCAAATCACTATTGGGGCTCTAAGGTTTGTATTCATTGGTCTGTACGGCAGTATATAAGCTAATCTCGTGTTTAACAGTGCCATCTTTGATGAAACCAAACCCCAAGTACCAGAGCCGATTGTTCAATGCGTTCAGATCAAGACATTGCCATCTCCGCCGAACCAACCAGAACGTTACCGGGCTGTTTTCAGTGATATTGCGAATTATGTCCAAACGATGATTGCTACTCGTACGTGCTTTCCTCTCATTACTCTTAGTAACTCATCGGGCTTACTAACCGCTAGAAGAAGCCACTGGGGTGGTGAAGGATGGGTCTCTTCGGAAGGGCTGTTTCGTGCGACTCACATCATTTCAGTCAAATGTTGTCAAAGGAAAGAAGTATGTGATGCAATTCTATCCATTTTGACTGTGCTAATTATCACAGTATCCTCGTCATCTTGGGCCTTGAAGTTCTAACGGAACTGGGCGAGGCTGAAAAAATCGGTGACCCCAAACCACTTGCAGTCAAATCCGAGGAAGAGGAAGTGGGTCAACCGACAACAATATCCAGCAATGGGTTTTACGGCTCCAAGATGGAGGGTGCACAGGCTCAGCCAAATAGCCGAGCCCAGCCAATCTCTGCCCCTATGTCTACTTCCTCCGTCCATGCCACAATCTACCCGATTGAAGCCGTCTCCCCGTATTCCAATAAATGGACGATCAAAGCGCGATGCACGAACAAGTCCGCCATCAAGACATGGCACAACAAGAATGGTGAGGGTAGACTGTTCAGTGTGAATTTACTGGACGACAGTGGTGAAATTCGTGCAACTGGTTTCAAGGAACAGTGTGACATGCTCTATGAACTCTTCCAGGAGGGCAGCGTTTATTATATTTCGACTCCATGTAAGGTCCAAATTGCCAAGAAACAGTTCTCAAATCTCAACAACGATTATGAACTTGTATTTGAGAGAGATACCGTTGTTGAGAAGGTAACATCTCTTTCTTCATAAACCAAATGCGTCGCTGACATTCTACGATAGGCTGAGGAGCAAAATGATATCCCTCAGATTCGATACAACTTCACCACCGTTGCTGATTTGCAGACCGTTGAAAAAGACACGACCACTGATGTTATTGGCGTTCTGACGGAGATTGGGGAGGCATCCCAGATTGTATCGAAAAGCACCGGCAAACCTTACGAGAAGCGTGAGCTTACACTGGTCGATAACACAGGATTCTCTGTCCGCTTGACAATTTGGGGTGCAACTGCACAAAATTTCAGTGTGACACCCGAGTCTGTTGTTGCCTTCAAGGGAGTCAAGGTTTCTGACTATGGCGGAAGAAGTCTGAGTCTTCTGAGTTCCGGCTCGATGACTGTTGACCCTGACATCGGGGAGGCTCACCGACTCAGAGGTTGGTATGATGCCCAAGGCAGATCGGAAACCTTTACATCCCATGTGTCAAATGCGACCAACTCCATGGGCAAAAGGGATCCCTTTAAAACCATTGCGCAAGTTCGCGAAGAGCAGCTTGGCATGTCTGAAACTTTTGATTACTTCTCTCTGAAAGCAACTGTGATCTTCATCAAGCAGGATAACGTCTGGTGCTACCCTGCCTGCCTTTCTGACAACTGCAACAAGAAGGTAACGGAACTTGATCCAGGACAGTGGCGGTGCGAAAAGTGTGACAAGACCTACCCCAAGCCAGAGTACCGCTACGTCCTGCCTATTAGTGTCGGTGACCATACTGGCCAGCTTTGGCTCAGCTGTTTTGACGACACTGGAAGGAAAATTATGGGCACATCTGCCGATGACCTAATGCAACTTCGCGAAGACGATTCCAATGCTTTCGGTGAAGTCTTCCAAACAGCGAATTGCCAGACCTGGAACTTCAGGTGCCGAGCCAAGACAGATAACTTTGGCGACCAGCAGCGGTAAGAATGATGGAACGACAATAATTCAAATAATGCGGACATCATGCTAATTGTGTCATCCAGGGTGCGATATCAGGTCTCATCCTGCCAGCCGATCAATTACTCGGAAGAAGCCTCTCGCCTTGCCGATATCATTGACTCGTACAGCATTGAGTAAGTACAGGCACAGTGGGGAAATATTCTTGTCCGGCTTTGTACTAGCTTTACTATTTCCACATGCGCTCGGAGCTTTTTCATCAATGTTCATGTGTACTTTTACTAGTATGCTGCTCAAGCTACGCCACGATCATCTCATTTATGGCTTCTCATTTTGACATTTGTTCGTTCTCTCTTATTTAGTATTTTAAAAACACCTAAATAGTAATTTTTCACTACCATCCCCTTACTTATGAGCAATCCGCAATGTGCGCTCTCACTCCGTCTGGACAGGACTCCAAAGGTTCTATACATGCTCCGTACTCCGTACTATATGTGAGGCGGTAAGCCAACAAAGGCGGAAATCAATGGCATTACACGATTGCTTTTTCTTTTTCTTTTTTCTTTCGGGTTTTCTGCTGGAACAATTCAGGCAGGGAATTCAGTCTCGTGCTCTTTATCTTTTGGTTCATTCTAAAATACTCATCATGGGTAAGCGAAGCCATCTTGAGCCAGCTGAGCAGCGACCGAAGAAAAAGTCCAAGTCTGAGAAGTCTGAGAAGTCCGAGAAGCCCTCAAAAGCTTCTAAAGATAAGCAGGAAAATGGCGATGAGAAGACAGCAGCTTATTCTGATGCGTCTGCTCTATCCGATATCCCTCAGTCAGACATTGACGCTTTTTTGACCGAGAACGTGATTAAAGTCTCTGATCCCTCCTCACCCGACGCCACACAATTCCGCCCAATCCTTTCGTTTGATCACCTACCTAAATGTGACGCTGGCCTGTACACTCAGTTGAAGTCTTTCCCCGCGCCGACACCGATTCAATCCACCACCTGGCCGCTTCTTTTTGCCGGCCGTGATGTGGTCGGTATCGCAGAGACTGGAAGTGGCAAGACACTTGGCTTTGGCTTGCCGTGTCTGAAGAAATTGATTGACTCCAAGTCAAGCAAGCCTTGTCAACCCAAGGCAGTGGTTATCTCGCCAACACGAGAGCTTGCAATGCAGATTTATGACCAGCTTGTTAAATTCGGCGGCACTGAGAAGACTCGGGTGACATGCATTTACGGAGGTGTGGGTAAAGATGAACAGCGTCGGGCTCTTCAAAAGGCCGCCATTGTGGTCGCCACCCCTGGCCGTCTTAAGGATCTCCTGAATGATGGTTCGATTGATCTTGGAAAGGTCACCTATCTCGTCTTGGATGAGGCAGATCGCATGCTTGACAAAGGATTTGAGCAGGATATCAAGGACATCGTCAAGCCGATGCCCGTCTCCAAGAGACAGACTGTTATGTTTACGGCAACATGGCCTCGGTCCGTTCGAGATCTCGCGGCAACCTTTATGAAGAACCCGGTAACTGTTACCATTGGCGGAGATCCATCTGCCGATCCCCGAGCCAACCTAAGGATCAAGCAAGTCGTCGAGGTTGTTGATGGCCGAGACAAGGAGAGCCGACTCATGCAGCTGCTCACTAAATCCCAGCGTGGTCATCAGTCGCCCGAGAAAGTCCTGGTTTTCTGCCTCTACAAGAAGGAGGCTATGCGCATCGAGAATCTCATCAGAAACAAGGGATTCTCTGTCGCCGGTATTCACGGTGATTTGAACCAATCAGATAGATTCCGAAATCTTGATGCTTTCAAGAACGGCAAAGCTACCATTCTTGTCGCAACCGATGTGGCGGCGCGTGGCCTTGATATCCCGAACGTGAAGCTGGTGATTAATGTCACTTTCCCTCTTACCGTTGAGGACTACGTGCACCGGATTGGAAGAACTGGGCGTGCTGGGGCTGACGGCCTTGCCATCACAATGTTCACTGAAACTGACAAGGGACTGTCCGGCGGGTATGTTGCTCATATTTCTAATATCCTTAACTGGCCAACGCTAATGGTGAATAGATTGATCAATGTTCTCAAGGCAGCTAAGCAAGATGTGCCAGAAGCTCTGTTGAAGTTTGGCACAACAGTCAAGAAGAAGCAGCACGATGTGTACGGCGCCTTTTACAAGGACGTTGATATGGACAAGACAGCGACAAAGATCACATTTGACGATTAATTGGGCTCATTCCGACTTGGTATTTTTGCTGGAGGATTTGGAGGACAAAATGTGCCGAAGCCTTGTCAGTTGACCCATCAAGTATTCCCTTTCTATATAGGCTCTATTATTTTTGTCGGTTAGGCGTTAAGAACAAATCAACATGGAATCCGATAAGATCAGTACTCACATTACGAGGGCATAGCCACCACTTAAGGCGCATGCTTTGATAATTCCCAATTCCAGGCCAAATCCGCGGCCCAAGAACAAGCTCGCCAGAGCACACAGAATGAAGCTAGCAGGTCGAATGGCGACCTCACTCGTGTACAAGCTGCATCCATTTCGATGGAAGTAAGATTTGATGAAACTGTAACTCCAAAAGGTTCGAACCGCCATGTTCACAATGTTGGCCAGGACCAATCCATATGCACCCAAGCTCCCTACCTCTAGGAACATATAGGCCGCCAAGGCATAACAGGCGGAAAAGACACCCATCCACGCCGTTTGCTTCCGTATTTGTTGCGAATTTGCCGCGGATGATACGAACGCTTCGGTGATCCCATTAAATGCCAAAAATGGAATGTAGTAGCAATAGACGGAGAGTAGGTCCCCGATTTTGGGGGAAGCCCATTGACGGCCTCCCAAGATATGCAACAATTGAGGAACCATCAGTGGGCCCAACGGGAATATCAAGACTGACAACAACTGGTACGCGCGTAGAATATCTACAAGATGATCTCTGGTAGTGCGGATATGGATATTGTTCAGCTTCCCATCCTCATCGGGGCTGAGTAGGGCTGAGAATAAGTTCCGGCTGCTCTCCTCCAGCGGCTGGAAGATGATCCGTGCAATGAGCCCGCCATAGTTCGACGCAAGAGAATATATGCCCTGATCTTCCAGTCCTGAAAGGGCTGCGAGCATCATAGTGTCGCCCTGCGTGAGCAAATGCTTCACTAGAGATTGGAAAAAGACATTCGCAGCAATTGACGTTAGCTGTCGTGAAAATAGTCCCAGAAAGTAGTTGGAGGGGTCCCTATATCAATTGTTACCGTGTCATTCTTCGTGGTATAGCTTGCACTAGATGAGGTCAGTCTTACCTGGTTCGTATACGTGTCAATAAGAAAGAGAACCGAGTTCCGTTGGTTTCTCTGAGCAGGGCCAGCGAATAGCCACAAATGAGGACCAGCGAGTAACTGAGGTGACCAAGAGCAAATGGTAGCACGCCGAGGTCAAAGTTGACTTGAGAAGCATATATGAAGGCAAAGGATGTCACCGCACTTCTCAGAAATGCCGCTGGCATTTCAACAGCAGCGCGTTTTTCATAAAGCATATGTTGCTGCACCACTGAGAAAAAGGGCTCGGTGCTGAGTTCTATGAGAGATGCAGCGCCGATCAAGATCACACTGGGGTAGAAGAAGGCGGTCTTTGATGCTTCCTCTGGCACGAAGCGCTGGTAAAGCATAGTGAACATAAGACTGCAAGGAATCCCAAGGGCGAGGCTCAAGTAGGACACGTTTACCACCGCTTGAGATGCCACAGACTGCGAATCCGTTGCTACAGCATCTGCATCAGAGGAAAGTTTTTTGTTGTCAGGCGAAGATGGAACAGGCTGCCTTTGGATAGCCATCCGAATACTTTCCCTTGAGAAATACAGGATAGAAACCTGGAAGAGCTCCAGTTGTGCTGCTATTCCTAGCACTACCGGTGAAAGGGTGCGCAAAATCAATTGGTTCGAGGCAAAGGTAAATATCCTGGACGCTAATTGAATTAAGATCAAAAAGCTTGTGCCCGTGGCTGACGACGCCAGAATTTTGCCCATACGGGCATCGGGTTTTGCCATGCCCGTGATTGAACCTAGTTATGACGATTCGTGCAATGAGGTGTTCTCACGTCAAATAAACCAACAAGAAGACTTTAAGCCGACCTCGGGGGGTGCAGGGGTAAAGGAAAGAGAGGATGTGGACAGGTGGGGCTCTAATCCAGGGCTTGACGTTTTGGCTTAGGCTTTTGAGGAATGGAAGATATTTGCTAGATGCAAATCAAGAACTGTTTTAAGCTGACGAAATTTTATATAAAAGGAATACGGAGTACCGTATAGTTAATCTATTGAATGCCACTTGGAGGTCACTTGCTTACGTGTAGCCCTCAAGTTCCCAGCTAGGCATAGTTAAGTATGGCTACAGGCTAATTGTGAAACTCCTTCTAAAAGAACCCTCTGTGGCGTCTTCGATATGCAAAATTTGGTATGCAAACTTTCCATGGCAAAAGGAAAGAGGCACTATGGGTCAAGATCCGCAAAGCCCCGTGCTTCCTCCAAGTGGTCCCCCAGGGCTGATCCATGTCAACTTCCGTTTGTCATCATATACAGGAAACAAGACTTGGAAAGACCTAGTCACTAGGATATCAATGATCGTTTGCAGTTCAATACGTCTCCAGGTGTTGCCTTGATCAATTAGGCTCTTGGACGCTTTAGAACGGAGGCAGATAGAATGGGTAGCCACCATTCTTGGTTTTGAAGACACTGAGAAGGAAGCTGTATGTTGTGAAAAGAACAGTTGCCCAAATCAAGACAGCCAGCTGTTGACCCTTGGGATCTTCCATCCGGGGAACCTTCAGTGCGAGTGCGATCGTAGCAAAGGAGAGAACAGCGTCTGCGAGCAAAATGTTAACCTAGGAATTCGACATGGAAACGAGGCCCAGTATCAATGAGTCTCACGATTATCACTTACAGATGGCAGCCACAATTTGAGTTTCCATCCCAAACTGGTTCTGGAATCCACCGGCAAAGTAGCTAATGCCACCATGGCCATCACCAGCAACATATGGGACCTTTCGGATGTGGTTGAACATTTGACCACTTGTGAACAGAAGAATAGCGATAAGGCTGATTGCAGCCCAAAGGTTTCGGTTCTGGATAATTGGGAGTATGTAGGGAGAAAGAACTGCAATCGCAGTCACAACTGCCATCAGAATTGTGATCGCTGATACAATCCGCATATAGTTGATGGGTCGAACTAGCTGAGGCTTGGGGCCTTCAGGCAAATGACGTCCAATCCAAGAGTAGACCTGGTCGGCTGATATCGGGCTATTTTGGATTGACATGTTAGTGAGACAGGAGATGGGCAAGACCCTTGGTAGAAAAACATACCCTGTGAAATCAAAGCGAAGGGGATTTCCTTCAACCTTGGCAAAGGGACCGACGGTAGGAGGGAAGACAAGGAGTACGGGTGCAGTTTGAAGCATGAGCTGCTTAGGTTAGTCGCATGCCATACAGCTCAGTCTGAGTAAAAATGCCTTACCTTTTGGAAAATCGCTTTGCCATTATCAAAATCAAGTGTTCCAAAGACCACCTTGAGGTCATCAGGCTTGGTGCCCTTGGTCCAGCTTCGGGCGATCAGGTCCCATTCAGATTCGAAGTCGCGGCATAGGAGACAGCCAAAGCGAGGATCCGTGGCAGTCAGGATAACCACAGCATAGTAATCTCGAGGTGTCGAGGTGAGGTCTTCATATGACGCACTGTCCAGTTCAACAAGCCCTGAACGAGACAGGGATTGATATTTTGTAAACTTGTCCGGTGTTGAGCTCGCAGACAGGACACCAGACACGACCGAGGAAAGGAGAAAAAGGGCCGACCAGAGCTTCATTTTAGCATGACAGGGTGCTAGACAGCTTGAGAAGGGTTATTTAGAAAGTGCAATTGATTGAAAAACCATCAATCGGTTGCAATTGAAGTTGTTTGAACACGTTGAGTGATAAAGTCCAGGTGTCCACTATCAACGTAATCGCCCGGCATATCGGCTTACTTAATATATTCGGGGTCGGCCCCGACGCCAAAACACGGGCGCGTCTTCCTTTGTGACGATTTTATATCGTACTTTGACGAGCATTGGACATAACACCACATATATCACCCTTGTATTTCTTTTGTTCTGGCCAGTATCATTTTATTTCTAGGCGTTTTCCTTCTATCTTCTTATATCGAAGGGCTCCTGTCCTGGACACTGTCGTCATGGCAATGATAGAAGAAGCATCGGCCTCAGATGTATGTGGCTTTCCTGGATTGATCCTGGTATAGTCAAAATGCTGACTTAATCATGCAGTTCGAAATGTCCATAAGGACTATACTTCTAGAGAAGGAGTATGAGAAGTCCCTTTCAGTTTCCGCCTGTCTTCTAGATGACGAGAGAGATCGTGTACGACGCATGGAGCTTTTGCTCTCGAAATTTGAGAATGAGGCTCTTCGGTCGCAGTTGAAGGAAGCAAATGGGCATCTTTTGGGATTCACAAGTGCTGATTCAGAGGCATGTGCTCAACTTCAGGAGGCTTGCCAAGAAATTGATCACCTGGAGCTTCAAGCACAGGCATCCTCGATTGAGATTAACCGACTCAAGGTAAGTCTTAACCCAATCTGGGGGCTGGAGGCATAATCCGTTATGTTGACAGCAATAGGAAGAACTATCGGTCCAGAAAAATAATTCGACCAGTTATAAAACTGTCCTTGCAGAGAAACTTCGTCTCTCCAGAGATCTTTCAACTTTGCAATCAGAGCTTGAGCGGTTCAGAGCGCAAAATGCATCATACCAAGTCACCATTTCCGAAAAGCATGAGATGGAACGGCAAATAAACTCTCTGGAGCTTCAACTTGATAATGAAAAACATGCCCATGAACGTGCTCAGCTCAAGGCATCACAGCAGATGACAGAGATCACCCAGCTTTCTGCTCGAGTTGGAGAGTTACGGGCTGAGCTAGCGGGAGAATTACGAGCAAAACAGCAGCAGGAACAGGACAACCACCATCAGAACTTGGCATGGGCTAATGAGCGGGCGACGTTTGAAGGAAAGATTGATTCGCTCAAACAACAATTGCGGTCCACCAAGGACAAGCTCCAGGAAGCCCAGGTTGAAATTCAGCAGCGACGCAACGTAAAATCACACGCAGGAAATAGCTCTGAATCCAGCTCTCGAAAAATCCCCCTTCAGCGCCCTGGCCCGAGTGCCGGCGTGACGATCGTAACCCCTGGTGCTGTTCGTGTGCAAGAGCAATTGAAAAAGCATTCGGCTGTGCCTGGGGACAAGTCGGCGTTTTCCATCACTCCATTCTTGAACCGCACAGGGGCACCTTCGGATTCCCCAATGAGCTCAGTTGGAGACGAAGACGAGATTCTTGGAAACGACGACACTCCTCGTGGACCACTTGGCAAGCAGGGTACTTTTGGCGAACAGAAGCGAATTGGTTCTGCCCTCCGGCGCCAGCTATCTCCAACAGAAGACCGCATTCCAATCACAAAATCCACCAAACCAAGGGCACGCGACGGCGCAATGCCTGTATCAGCACCGGATAAAGAGGTCAAAAAACCAAACCATCGCTTAGATCGCAGGGTGCCACCCACTGAGACCGATGAATTACATGATCAGTTTGAGCATGAACAAGCCAAGCCGAAGAAACGCAAACTTGGTGGTCAGCGGGATCGGAGCTTGTTTGAGGAGGAGGATGAAGAAGAGCCTGAGCTCAGCAAGAAATTTGGACGAAAACTTGCAATAGGAAATGGTCGGGCTTTAACGATGGGGAGTAAAACACAAAGTACTACTAGTCTACCACGGGCGCTTGGGCTCGGGGCAGCACCCATAGGGTTTTCTCCCCTGAAGAAAGACCGCAGACGATTTTAATCAGAAGATCCGGCAATTCATTTTTATTGGCACAGGCTTGGTGTATTTAATATGTACATGACATGTACTCCGTAGGCACGTAACTGGAGAATGCCCATGCTTCTAAGGTTATGCCGATAAGAGCCGACTTGAGTGTTTTGCCGGCAGAAAGTAAAAAGGTTTCCCAAGCTCTCAGGTCTCCGATTATCTCCCCTGATATTATTCAATTCGCATTATGTTTGCTTTACATTCAACTCGATTTTGGCGGAACGCCTGCCATCAGCAGGAAATTGATCAAGCAATTGGTCAAGCAAGACATGCATCATCCAAACGCTGGCAAGCCCGGCAGCAAAAGGATCAGTTCACCAGAGAGGCAGCCGTCCAAGGGCTGAAAAGCCGTGCTGCTTTCAAATTGCTGCAGGTGATTCAGAATCGACATTACTCTATCTCCCTGGATTAGTCTGACACACTGTTACCTGCGCTTAGATTGATGAGAAATATCGAATCTTCAAGGGTGGGCAGACAGTTGTTGACTTGGTATGCTAGTCGTTCAACCTGAACTCGGATCATTGTTTAATTCCGTCGCTTTAGGGTTATGCTCCTGGATCGTGGTCGCAGGTGTGTCGGCTATTCCTCTTTTGTCTTTTGCTGTCAAATGGGCCGTGATTAACTGCCAGAAAAGGTTGCTGCAAGCCGCACCCAACCGCATGGCCGAGTCCTCGGTGTCGATATCATCCCAGCCCAACCACCGAAAGGAGTATCTACGATTCAAGGCAACTTCCTCTCACCCGAAATCCAAACATATATCCGAGACTTTCTCCGCAGTCCGGACAGAGGCAGGCCGCGCCAACCCAGCTTCTCGGACGATTCCAGTATCAGCCCATTGGAGCCGAATGCAGATACGGAACGCACTACCGAGGCCGAGAAGACGGAGAAGACGGATAAGAGGGGCGAGAAAATACTTGAAAGAACGGTAGATGTGGTTCTTAGCGATATGTCCGCGCCCTGGCACCAGACCTCCGGTTTCTGGAAACGAAGTCTAAGTGCTCCTTATAATAGGATGATGAACACCAGCGGCGTCAGTTTCAGAGATCATGCTGGAAGTATGGTATGTATGCCTATTACTATTGAGTCGATATATGTGAAACCCTTCTGACTTTACGCAGGATCTCTGCCACGCGGCTTTGCGCTTCAGTTCGGATGTTTTGAAGGCAGGAGGTCATTTCGTCTGCAAATTCTACCAAGGCGCCGAAGACAAAGAACTGGAGCAGCAGCTGAAGGAATTATTCAAAAAGGTTCACCGTCTTAAACCCGAATCATCTCGCAGTGTATGATTGACCTTGTCCAATTTCTACACCCCCACCGACTAAAGCAATTGGCAGGAATCCAAGGAGGCCTTTTTCGTTGGCCTGGAGCGAAAAGCGTGAGACTAAAGCTTTTTCGGACTTACGTGTTGACAGATCACAGCATAGCCGAAGTGCCGAACCATGCAGTCTGTCTAAAGGATCTCGATCTCCTCATTGTCAGATGCCTCGTCCCAGTCAATATCGGCTAGTGCTGCTTCCGCCTTCTCATGAACCTTCATATTCGTCAGTTTGGGATCAAGTCGTTTTTTAGGCATCGACTGACCTCTCTTAGTCCACTCAATTCTTCGACATAGCCATGTTCGTTCAAGGCTTTTCGCACAAAGTCCCAACCGTGCTCGCGGTATGCACTGACAATTTTATCCGAGCATGCACTGCAGCTCGAATAACTCTTGCCGGTGACAGACAAGTTCTCGAAATTCGAGAGAAACCCTCGTATTTGATGGGGCACACTTCCTAAGGGGTGATCATCACGCTCAGTATTTCGGGCTATGGGGGCTGGTGCGGCAGCGCCTCGGGGGTGCTGAAGTATTGACACGAAAAGCTCCACCAGAAGTGCAGAGGCTATAGGAGCCACTCCAGGGCGGGTCACTGTACACTGCTGGTCGAGAGTTTGATCTTTGATAGACTATCCCGCAGTCAGTTCTGTATAAAGCAGGTCCCTTCTTTGGATAATCTTACATTAGCTGGTACTACCACATCGTTGCAGAAATAGCACCCAAGCTCAGCTGGATTTTCATCCTCCATGATACCATGGCGCATCACCACAAAGGAATCAAATCCTAGAGCTGCATTCATCACAATTTTCCCAGCCGCCTTTCCCATCACTGTGGGCAGCCATCGTGATTCTCGGGTATCCATGAGAAGGAAGATAGCATCATGTTCATCAATCAGTGTCTTGAGACGATCAAAATCGGCCCTGGTCGCCGCTTCGTCCACAATAGGATGGCCTGCCATGGGCACCGAGAACACATAACCTTTAGTATCTACTCCCGGGTAAATTTGGGTTAGGGCTTCGGATGCTCGAAGTGCTTTTTGGACACCACCGTTCAAGCAGTCTTCGAAATTGAATAGTGGCTGCCGAACAGGGTTAGAAAATGAAACCGTCCCATTGTCGACGAAAGTGATCTTCTTCACGCCCCAGCCCTATGTAGTGGATGATTAGAACAAATTTTTGGCAGGGAAGTTGACGTCCACATACCAGCAGATTCCGGGAGACGTAGCTGCCTAATGTACCAGCCCCTAGCAATAGACATTTCGTGTTCTTGATTTTTTCAAGATCGAGCGTCGGGCTGATCCGCCATTTGATAAGTTTGAGGTTGAGATCAACCGACTGGTCTGCCAATCTTCAGGAAAATTAGCATGCTTGATCAAGTCTTCATTCAATTTGGTTATCTCCAAATTAATGCCATACCTCTTAGGATCCATGTACTCTGTAAGGTTGACAATTCTCCCGGCTAATTTCCCAGTCGAGTTGCGTTCCCAACCGGTCACCTTTGGCAGTGGTAACGACCCTTGACTTTGCAGTGATCTCGGTGTCTCAGTCTCTTGTTTTGAACTTGACTCCAGCTGAATTACTGTACTGCGCCCTTGATCACGCCTCGCGTGCACGTCGCGATAGCGTATCAATTGTACCCTTTCGATGCCCCATCGCTGCTTGATCAGAACAAGCAGGTTTCGTAACATCCATCCTGGGGCCTGTTCATAATTTGATGGGTCTGCGAAACAGAAATAGCGGTCTTCAGTAGCGACATTTTTGAAAAACCCATTTTCATATTCGGAAAGTGACGCTATCTGCCAGTTTATATTTGAAGTGTCGCCTTGTTGGGCATTCTTCGTTCCGGAATCACCTGAGGATGCGTTATCGGAATTCTCTCTGACTTTTCGAGCCAAAAAAAACCCTCGTTGTCGAGGATCCACCATATATGACCATGTTTCCACCGCTTCCACCAAGGCAGTGCTTTCATGTGGAGATAAGTGTATTCCCTTCAAGTTGTCAAGACTATTATCCTGGTGTGGCTGGAATACTTGGTCTGTTGGTTGCACGGGGACCCATTGAGGATCTGAATGGATTGCTGGGAAAGCAAACCAGTAGTGGAACTTGTATTTTTTGAGGTCTGCGAAAGATACAATCACGAAACTGCAGAGTAAGGAGGGACAAGAAAGAATTGTTCCGTCATGAATGGCATCCCATATCTGGAGTTGATTAGTATCTCTCTCTAAGGCAACTGGCTAAGGTTGATTCCTACCATTTGTCCAGCTTGATGGAGCAGTTTGGATCTGTCCATGTTTCGATATTCCTCAACAGTATTGACATTTTTGATCATGCCCTCTGCTCTGTAATAGCCAGCCGGGACCCTAGGTCGCTGTTAGAAGGGCTTTCAGGAACATTTTGTTTTATCTTACTCGCTGCTGGTTAGGGCGTTCCCATGGATTTGAATACGACACGACGCAGCTTCGGGATCAGACGGACGGATCTCATATAGTCCCAGAACAGGCCGGGCGGAATCATCTAGTTTGTCATGGTTGATCTTATGGGAAGCCAGTGAAGTATAGAAGGGTAATTCGATGTCGGAGGCAAACGGTGCGTACTGCATCTTGGAGGAACAGGGGAGAGAACGAGAAGAATAGCTTATCAACTCCCGAGTGATATAGACTTGGAAGGTTGGATGTAGCAGTTAGCAAGGGTGGGGGGAGGGAGGTGTAAAGGTGTGTAGTGAGGTGAAAGGGTCTGATGTCACGAGGAGCCCGCGGCGGGGGTGAAGGTTTATCTATCCACATTTACCTTCACACTTGCTTCATGTGAAAATGATCACTACATATGTACCCAAAGCCAAGAGCTTTATCCCGAAAATGTAAATAAAACTAAGGAGGAGTTCATCCGTCCTCAAGTTTTAGAGGAGCGAAATTAACTGAGACACACCGTTAACACTCGTAGCGCGACATTTAACACCACCTCTTATCACCACATTCTGAATGATATGAGAGGATGCATCTCATTTCGTTAATTTTTTATCGTCTATAGAGACCCGGCCACCGTATAACCCGAGGATGCTGCCGTCATAACTGTGTCACCAACTGGATCTATCAAAGGGGTCCGTACTTGCGACCCCAAATAATACCTTAGTCAATACAACGCACTGATGAGCAAACCAAATCCCCACTACAAACCTCCAACGACGCGGATGCCATTCCCAGCTAGGGCTCCATCTAACAGCTCCGACGTCCGCGCCGTACATAAAGGGATCTCAGGAAGGGACGACGCCTTCCTGGCAATGGATCATCAATTTTAACGTCGCTTAAGCTTCGCAATATAAAAAGATCGGATTTTCCAATATTTCGGACTTTACTTTTTCTTTGTTAATGTTGAATTTGGTATGAAACCATATACGCATCTTGATAGCAAGATAGACACCGGTAATAAGCAAATAAAGTAGGGTTCTGATTTCGTGCAGTTACTGGTATACTCAACACGAGTAGCCACCGGCCCAAGCCCTATGTCCCAGCTCAGCGGAATGCACGAGGATGATATACATACATATTTGCGCCGGTGAGTTGAACTGCCTAAACAGGGACATCCATGGATAGGAGGCTTGATTATATAGTTTCTGATGGTGGCTGGTTAAAGTCAGATATGGTAGTTGAATGGCAAGGAGAAGTACATTAGGCATAGGAAACCACCTGCGAGAGAATACAGCATACTATCACTAGGCCACAATTAAACCATAGGCCTTATATATGCATTCATAGCATAGAGGTGCGCTGTATTTATCTGTTCTGTTTCTTTTGGTACATGGGAATAAGGATCTAAATATCCGTGTGTAAATAAATCAAAAGAAGATAGTGAAAATGCATCAATAAGAAGATAGACTAAAGCATCATGAACGATGCAACCATAGGCTAACCTTACAGACGCCAAGAGCTATACTTGTCTATACAGCTACCCAACCCTGGAGTATATGGGCAACATCCCGCTATCAGGCCGATAAGGTCGCGTCGCGCTTTGCTCTGCCCCACTTCTTTCTTCTTTTCTTCTCTTCTTTTAGACAGTACAATCATTAAACACCCTGAAAATGCTCATCGGCTTATGTGGAGGTCAGTAGATAATTCTTGCAAACCAAACCCCCACCCGACACGGGACGAGCTAACGAGGATATACGTCAAAAGGCATTTGCGCTGGCAAACATGCGATTGCTGACTACCTGATTCAGCAAGGGTTTCAGCTTCTTGAACTCGCCGACACACCCCAATACCACACCACCGATTTAGAGGATGACCTGCGACTGCAAGTGTCGGAGATCCGAAAAAAAGACCCCAAGTCACCAGAGCTTATATTTCAAGATGCCGACTCTCTACTCGACTTTGCGACAAAAAGATGGCAAGAACGCTGGGTTACTACAGACATTGCAGATCCTACTACCCTAGATCGATTCCTCTTGCGCCCCTTCTTCCTCCTCGTGAGCGTGGATGCGCCAATCGGCCTCCGATGGAAACGATTTGCCGACAGGTTCGTGATGATACATGTGACTGAAGTCCGAGAGCTGATTTTCTTTTTCTTTGATTGAAAAAAGATGTTGGAGAAGACAATTGGATCCGCCTGAGCTTGAAAAGTTCATAATGTGGAACGATCATAATCTTTACGATCAGGATACTGGACGTGTATACTTGACCGACAAAGCTCAATTGCGCCTATTCAACTCCTCGACAGGCCTCAAAGAGTTACACTCGGCTTTACAAACCCTGGACCTGGAAAACGAACAACGGTTGAGGCCAAATTGGGACCAGTATTTCATGCAGCTGGCCTCTCTTGCTGCCCGAAGAAGCAACTGCATGAAAAGAAGAGTGGGATGTGTGCTCGTTCGAGAGAGTCGTGTCATCAGCACAGGATACAATGGGACGCCACGGCATCTCCGGAACTGCAACCAAGGCGGATGTACGATACAGGCCAGAACTGAATAACTCTAATGGCTCTATTGTCCATTTGGCTCACTAGAAATCATTATAGGTCCACGGTGCAATCGCGGGGATGGAGGAGGAGTCGGCCTCTCAACCTGTCTTTGCCTTCACGCCGAAGAAAACGCGTTATTGGAAGCAGGCCGAGAGCGGATCCGAGAGGGGACGATCCTCTACTGTGATACGTAAGTCTATTCATTCTTCTATGAACTGTTTAAAAGACAAAATATCTTACTGTGGATTGCAGATGCCCTTGCTTGACATGCACTGTTAAGATAGCCCAAGTTGGAATTTCGGAGGTCGTTTACTCTCAAGGGTACAACATGGATAGTGACGTAAGTCAATGCTTGTTCATTCCAAGGGTTCTAATTAATCTAATTTGAACATACAGAGTGCGGCTATCTTACAAGAAGCAGGCGTACGGCTACGGCAATTCCACCCGGTAGCTAATCTTCTATGCCCTCATTTCTCTTTATGCATAACTGACTATATAACAGCCTACAAATGGGCTCATCGTTCTTCAGGCACCCAAGATACCAGTCACAACCGAAACCCAATAACCCACAATACGACGGTAAAGGCGCAGGGCATCCCAACCTTAGTGAAGAGAAAAATGCACCTGCATCAGTGAACATTTCCACCACTCAGGGGTATGTCAAAGTTATTGTACAAAGTAACTCGTCCAAATAACATTGCAATTAAAGAGGAGGAGGTCCTTGATGGAAACCAAATGTCCTAGGGCTATTAGTAGTTAACTATTGTCTAAAGAAAATACTATGACTCACAGGTACTTATAAAGTATGGAAGGAACTTAGATTATATAGTAACTTTACGCTTTAAAGAAGTACCCTAATGTACTTATTTTCTCCGCATTTTGTCCGGCAGAAGAAAAAAAAGGTATGACTCAGCGTGCGGATTTTGGCGGGGGTCTTCAAGGAACCCCTCGACGGTTTTTATAGCTGGATGCTTTTCGGTGTTGGTTCAACCTCGATAGTCCAATACCTTACCCGCTTCCAGCTGCGATCACCATTGTCCTTTTGGCCTAAGTTCTTACAGCCATGCCTACCGTCCACTTGCTGGACTACGTGGCGGGGAACATCCGCTCCCTGGTCAATGCGATTAACCAAGTCGGATATGATGTCGAATGGGTCAAAACCCCAGAGGATGTGAAAAATGCCGATGTTAGTCAAATCCCGGATCAATTCCAGCACCATTGGCTCATGACCATGCCGTTGCTAACAGCAGAATCATAGAAACTGATACTCCCCGGTGTTGGCCATTTTGGCCATTGTCTCTCCCAACTTGACAAAGGAGGATTTTTGGAGCCCATCCGACAGCATATCGAATCGGGGAAGCCTTTCATGGGGATCTGTGTTGGCCTGCAAGCCCTTTTCCAGGGCTCAGAGGAGGACAACGACGTTCCAGGGCTTGGCGTTATTCCTATGCGCATTCAAAAATTCAACGACACCTCGAAGAGTGTACCACACATTGGATGGAATTCTGCAATCAACACGGGATCAGATGGCACAAAACACGAAAGCTTTTATGGTCTGAGGCCGACTAGCAAGTATTATTACGTCCACTCCTATGCGGCCCCCTACAACCCGGGTGTATTGGAAAGTGACGGCTGGTCTGTGGCTACAGCCACATATGGCGAGGAAGAGTTCATCGGTGCTATCAGTCGGGGTAACATCTTTGGCGCCCAATTTCACCCGGAGAAGAGTGGTGTGGCTGGGCTACGGGCCATACGCGCATTCTTAAATGGCGATCAATTCCAGTCGCTCTCACAGGACCTGGTCACTGGCAAAGAAAATGGGCTCACTCGTCGTGTTATTGCTTGCCTTGATGTTCGCACAAACGACTCTGGTGACTTGGTTGTCACCAAAGGTGACCAATATGATGTCCGAGAGAAGAGTGGAACAGATGCCGGCGGCAGCGTTCGCAATCTCGGTAAGCCTGTTGACATGGCTAAGAAATATTACGAACAAGGAGCAGATGAAGTGACCTTTTTGAACATCACCTCTTTCCGAAACTGCCCCATTGCCGATACTCCCATGCTTGAAATTCTGCGACGAACATCAGAGACTGTCTTTGTGCCTTTGACCATTGGTGGAGGAATCAAAGATACCGTCGACACTGATGGCACCCATGTCCCTGCTCTGGATGTGGCAACGATGTATTTCAAGTCTGGAGCCGATAAAGTCAGCATTGGCTCCGATTCTGTCTTTGCCGCTGAGGACTATTACAACGCCGGTGAAAAGTTGAGTGGCAAAACCGCAATCGAGACGATATCCAAGGCCTATGGAAAGCAGGCTGTCGTGGTGAGTGTCGACCCCAAGCGGGTATATGTGGATAAGCCAGAAGACACCCATCACCATACAATTAAGACCGAGTTCCCCAACTCAACTGGGCAAAGCTACTGCTGGTACCAGTGCACCGTCAAAGGTGGCAGGGAAACTCGCGATATCGATGTGCGGCAACTCGTGCAGGCTGTTGAGGCCATGGGAGCTGGTGAAATTCTTCTGAATTGCATCGATAAAGATGGAAGCAACAGTGGATTTGATCTGGAATTGATCAGAGATGTCAAAGCTTCGATCAAGATTCCAGTCATCGCTTCAAGCGGGGCTGGTGTACCTGCGCACTTTGCAGAGGTCTTCAACAAAACCACCACCGATGCAGCATTGGGAGCAGGAATGGTAAGTTTACATTCTTCCAACTATTATTTTCTTTCACAACAGAGTCTCTGACCATGTCCCAGTTCCACCGTGGTGAATATACCGTAACTCAAGTGAAAGACTACCTTCAATCTGAGGGATTCCTGGTCCGCCAATTTGAGGCTGAGATTTAAAGACTCGGCTATTCAAAGGTGTGATATCTTCACATGGGCATATTTTGCAAATTTTACGTTTTTATACGAGAATAGAGAATAGATGTCATGGGGGTCAAGCCCATCAACCAAGATACTATACAGTTCAAATGTGAAGCACAGAAACAATTCAATACACACAAGATGTTTGAGATAATGGATTCCAATAGAATGTTGAAGGGCCCGGGGCAGATACAGCTATTGGCCCGCCCGGAAAGTCACATGATACACCAAAGGCGGTCTACAAGGCGGTGGAGACAGACACAAATCATCTGACTTTTCCTCACTTGCCACTTCACCTTCTCCTCTCCCCAAGTCAATACCCGCGGCGCTCCAAAAGTCCTATCCTCACCACCCACGTACCTAGCTTCTTTCTTGCTAAATTTCGATTTTTTGACGATACCCTCTCGGCCTTCATCACCACCGAACTATATTACTTAACAACTGCGACACCTCGGTTTCGGTCGTTTGACAGCGAATTTGCTCATTCCTAACAGGTCTGTATAACTGGGTTTGGTGTCTGCAAGGATCTTCAAAAAGGTCCGACACAGGTCAGGGTGCTAGGGTGGCTCTGCGAATCACTTGAAGGACGGGGCAGACCATCAATCTCTCTTGAATACACCTTTTTTTAATTCAGCGCCAGTGTTCGATCATCGTATTCATCAATTCCTTGATCTCCATTTGTATGCAGTGACCTGAACACTCACCATTCAGCATTCAAAAGATTCTCATTCACACATCCATTGTCTCAGTGGTCTATTGATCCCTGCTTTTTTTAAAAAAAATATCTCGTGCTTTCTCTGTGCTTTGAACAGATAACGTCTGTTACCCGGCCTTTCTTTGTTGTGCCTGGTGATACACCAGTTTCACTTCATCTCACGAGTTTTTTTCATTCCTCTCTTTATTATCCCCTATTGCTCACTGTACACGGCGACGGTGCCCCTAAATCTGGGTCTTAATACACCTACGGCCATCTTTGTTGCACCCATCCCCCTCCCAAATTGAATACAATGTCATCCTCTGTTCATTTCAAATTCAAATCCCAGAAAGAACCCTCAAGGGTCACCTTCGATGGCACTGGTATTTCGGTCTTTGAGCTCAAAAGAGAGATTATCAGCCAAAGTAGATTGGGCGATGGGAGTGACTTTGAGCTGTCGATCTACAATGAGGACACTAGAGAGGGTATGTTACTTTGTTCCAATGTGTTTCATTTGCTCCTGACTAACAGCAAGTCTTCTGAGATTCAATAGAATACGACGATGACACCACTATAATCCCTCGATCGACTTCCGTGATCGCCCGCCGATTGCCTGCAGCGCGCCCTGGTAAGGGCGGTGCTGCTCGTTATGTTTCAGGCAAGATGCCAGTCAATGCTCGCAGTGCTCCTCGCAACGAACCCTCGATGAGCCGAGTAACACCCGGATCAGGGCAATCCGTCAACAACAACGTCCTCGAACTCAATAATGCACAAACAGAAGAAGAGAAGATCAACGCTCTGTTCAACCTGCAGGCTAGCCAATGGCAAGAGCAGCAACAAGAAATGGCAAAGTAAGCACACTTCAACCGGATGTTTGATTATGTTGGAGATATTAATATAATTTAGCGCAACACCCGTTCCATTTGGTCGTGGCAGAGGGAAGCCGGTCAATGTACCCGACCACCCTCCGCCTCCAGGGTATCTTTGCTACCGTTGCCGGGAAAAAGGTATGCACCTCTAATCAAATCACCCCACCTACAGAACGCTGACCGTTGTACGCAGGTCACTGGATCCAAGCATGTCCTACGAATAACGACCCCAAGTTCGACGGCAAATATAGAGTCAAACGATCAACCGGCATACCACGTTCACTTCAAACCAAGGTCGACAAACCAGAATCTCTGGCCCCCGATGGCTCCACCGAAGATTCAAGGAATACAGGGGTCATGGTGAATGCTGATGGCGACTTTGTTATTGCAAAGCCAGACAAGGCAGCCTGGGAATTGTACCAAGAAAAGGCGAAGGCATCGGCGGCAGCAGCAGCTGAGGCGGCAGCTGCCGAGGAGAGCAAAGCATTGCAAGCTCGAGGTCTGGAGTGCCCAATTGACAAGAGGATGTTTTTAGAGCCAACAAAGACACCATGTTGCCAGAGGACATATTGCAATGATTGTATTTCAAATGCCTTGATTGAAAGTGACTTTGTTTGCCCGGGATGTGCTACAGAGGGGGTCTTACTTGATAACCTCACCCCCGATGATGAAGCTGCATCAAAAATTAAGGAATATGAAGCCGACAAGGCTGAAGCCAAGAAGGAGAAGGAAAAAGTCGTCGCAGGCCCTAATGGTACTCCTACCCCCGACGTCTCCGAAACTGAGCCCAAGGAGTCTTCCGCCACCAAAGAGCAGAGCCCACTCAATCAAACTCAAGAGACTTCGTCCACACAATCCAGGAAAAGATCCGCTGAGGACGAGCCCACTAGCCGGAATGAAACCGCGAACTCTGAGCCGGGTAACGTGCTCAAGAAACAGAAGGCAGATGATGGTCATTCCGACGTTCCGACCCAGGCTAATAGCGTCCAAGACGGTGCGCCTGGTGTTGCCCCAGTGAATTTTAATAATCAGGATATGCGCTTCAACAGCTTTGGGCCAATGCAAGGCATGCCTATGATGCCATTCTCGGCTCCTGGATTCGGTAATGAAGCCATGGGGTTTATGAACCCCATGGCGATGGCATCTGCCAATGGCTTCCCCAGTGGAATGGGCCCAGGATGGAATCCCATGAACATGCCTTTCAATCCTCTCCAAGCTGGAATGTTCGATCAAAGCAATGGTGGCATGCCCAACGGATTTCCTAACATGTTCAATGGAGACCCTTCAATGATGTTCCCCATGCCCCAGAATGGGTTCCAAGGCCCAAACTCTGGAATGAACAATTTCTCAAATCAGCAGCGGACGGCTTTCAGCACACCTTATTCCCGAGAAGAGGATTCACCGTATTTTCGTCAACCTGTGAATCCGCAACGTCATCAGGCTAGAAACCGACGGGTTCGGCCTAGCGATTACAGGGAGCTTTGAATAGAGAAGTGGCGATGGCTTGCATGGATTTGCATTATGGTTTCCTAGTACACACTTTGTATATGCATATTATTTACAGCGGCTTTGTCTTTTTTTCCTACTTATTCTTTTTTTTTTTTGTTTCTTTTTCATCTCATTCCGAAGAGGTTTCTTTTTTACCTTCAGAGCGTGTACTACTACTACCATAGCCGCAATAAGAATAATTCAATTCATCATAGTTTCCCACCTCTGTTATATCACTTTGACCGGGACTTAGGAATTAATATCGAGTATCATGTGGCTATAATGCCACCAATCCGTTCAATTAATGTCTACCGTTGGGCAGTGTAACTACTTAGTTTTAATAACACCCTCTTTATGGACATTAACAACTGGTAGAAATCATGCATAGTACAAGAAAGTAAGCCCATGATATATAACAATAATAGTTCACCAAAGGAAGAAAGATGAGGAAATATAAAATGATTTTATATTCCAAATGCAGAGGGAGGGTCAGGTGACTGGGCCCATTCACACCGTCTCTACTTCCACACCGTCCACTCCGTCCAATTCCGTCCGCTTCCCCTGTTCAACATCAATCAGACCATTCGATTTTCTTCTCAAAAAACACCAACCATCTTCATCGTGTCTTCTCTACTTCATTTAAATTTCAAATTTCAACCTAGTTCGATATCTTGACCTACACCGCTCATCAAATCCCTCCCAGAACAATTATCTGAAAGATCAACCATCATGGCGAAATATATGAATAACCACAGTAGTAATTGCAATCAAATGCAACGGTTCCTCGACCAAGACTCCCAGAGCACCGTTCTCGCTACTTGCTACAGTGTTGAGCCGTCTACCTCCAAGGTCCACGGCTTCCACTATTGCACTACCCTGGGCGCCGGTAAGTATCTCGTAACCAAACATCATCTATGTTTCTCGATCTAATCTTGAGATTAGGGGTACAGTGGTATCCCTGAGGTCCCTTCGGGGACTAAATCGTCTCTTTCAAGTCCTCCCCACGACATCCTCGATTCCCGCGCGGAACGAACCTGGCCTGGAAACAATTGGCCAGAGTACAAGGGGGAGGCAACGCATAACATCCCGGAAGAGTGTGAGAGACTCTTCTGTGACAGACTGTCTGCGACATTCCTGGGTGAGAGGAATTTCGTGGGACAGGAGTCACTGGGGATGGATGCGTTCCGAAATGTCCAGTCAAATCAAATCGGGCTCCAGCATGCTCGAATCCAGCAATGGATAGAAGTGTGGGATTATACCAGTGATGCTATCTACCGTGGATTTGTGGCTGAACACAATAAGGAGCGGACCTTGTTCGTTTTCTTCGAGGACCGTGCACTTGAACACGGCCTCAAGTCAGGGTATGTACGCCCCTTGCGTTTCCTTGTACAAGTCAAGGCTTTCCCCTTTTGCCTAGTCACAGTCCTCCATGTGTGTTTGATTCACCTGCTGACCTTTCACCCCCCTTAGCTTGATCGCTCTGTTCGAACTCGCCGATATCGCTACCTTTGGGTGTTCGCAAATAGTTGCCTGTGTCAGTCGCTCCCAGCGCACAGATGAAATGGAGCTTGTGCGAAGTTTAGGATGGTGTGGATTCAGCCTCACCACCTTGGCGCCTTGGGTCTCACACAGTGATCAAGGGCCCTGCCTTAGTAATAAATGGCTTTTCTTGGTCGCTGAAGTCTAGCAATAGCATCATTGTGTGATGCGTTTATTTCGTTTGGATTGGAGTCATGGATTTTGCTTATGTCCTGATGCTTGAGCTTTTGCACAAGGCGACTGTCCTTTTATTCCGACTATCGAATATTGCTTCTTGCTTCCTTATTTTGATTTGTTTTTCATGCGTATTATTGCATAGTTCCATATAACTATACACTATTCTAATGAAATTGTCACTTTCCCCCGCTTTCACGGGAAAAAAAAGCCGT